CCCTGTCCGCCTGCCCACTTTGCCTGCCCATCCACCCACCAGTCAGCCATCACTAACACAATGAGTGCATTTGGAGCCAACATGGTGCACAGATGTTCCTTGATTGAGCAGATATGTCCAACAAGTCACAGAATAACCATTCCAGCCTCATGACAAATCAAAACATATGCCGTGAATCTGTGACGTCACAGGGTAGAAGGCACTAGAGTACTGGACCAAGTGGCTGTCTGTACAAATATATCTTACTTGAATATTACTTTAAATATTACCAACACTTAACAACTTCGGAAATACTGGCGCCCCGAATTTAACGAGCTGGATACAGCCCCATATAGGCCATTAAATCGAGTGGATACCTATGAAGCGAGAGAAAGAAATTAAAGGACTGCAAGGATACTTCATTCTGCAGCCAAGACGAAGCCCACAGGTGAGACACCATTCAAGGATGCCACCTGATCACCCTACAGATGGTGGTAGACCCCGAGTCAAAAGACGAAATGTGAAGACTCGAGGAGAAGATCGAACCAGCCATGTGACGGACCGGACCGATCCGCTAAAAGAGGTGGAGCCGGGGGAAAACCTCCGGGTTTAGACACCGAGCAAGCAGCGCCTGAAACCAAGGCTGGGCCGAGCACCAAGGGACCAAGAGGACTACTATTCCCTAGCAAGTCTCCAAGCGAGCCAGGACCTGAAGCAACAGCTGAACCAGGGAAATAGGTACAGGTACCCCCACCTCAACCATTTCTGCTGAAAGGCATCGACCCCGACGGCGTTGCAGTCGGGGAAGGGCGCTACATAAACTGGAAGACACCTCGATCATGCTGACATGAAGAGTTCCACATCCGGGTGCCCGTACGTCTGGCAGAGCCAATTGAATGAGTTGTGTGTCGACCGTCCATTACGTTAGGAGGGGAATGAACCGAGACAGGCTGTCCGCCAAACGTTGGACACCCCCCGAACGTGAACCACCAGGAGAGTCAAACCAGAAGAACTCAGCAGACGAGTTACCCGAAGCGACCAGCGCCAAAGAGCAAATGACCGCATCGAACCCCCTCGGTTCAGGCAATGGACCACTGGGGAGCAGTCTGAATGGAGCTGGATTGTTGATCTGCGGGCGACCCAAACCCTCCGAAGGGATACCACACCGCCGTGAACTCTCACACAATGCTGTGGGCTCGACGGAAGAACGGACCCTACCGCCCATGGCCGGCCTGGTGAGCACTGGTCACAAAGTCCCAGCCCAGAGACGACGTGTCTGTGAACAACACCAAGCGAGGGCATGGGTAGGCGCCAAGGCAATGAACCCTGAAAAACCCAAAAATGAAGTCGGTGACACAGCAACAGACACAAGGCCCCCGGTGGACAAACCCAGCGATTGCCAGGGAGGTGGAAGGGTTGGCTCCAAAAAAACAGAACAGCCAATGAAGCCAAACCCGACCCGGCAGAAGACCATCATTGCAAAGTTCAGGCTCCCGCACAAACCCACGAGCACCCGCCGAGTTACCTGGAATACCCCCAGAAAAAGGCAAAGGTGGGACGGCAGCCGAGGGAGAGACTCCGGAGGGAAAGACAAGGAAGCGGTCCGAGAGTCCCAAACAAACCCAGCCAAGTCGAACCTGAGAGGGAACCAAATGGGACCTCCTCCAGTTCACCAAGAACCGAACCCGGCGAGCTGGAAAAGAGCCAAATTCCTTGCAAGCAGACAGCAGACTGGCTGGGAGCCCAGACCAGCCAGTCGTCGAGGTAGGCCAACACCTAAAATCTAAGAGATGCAGATAGGCCCCAAGACCCGAGTACGGCATGTGAAAATGCGAGATGGAAAGCTTGATTACTGCTCAGCACTCACTTCCCCCTTCAGAGCAGAGAGATTGCTGAAATAGAGGGAATACAGAGAACATATACGGCACGCATAGACGCAATAAAGCACCTAAATTATTGGGATCGTCTCAAAGCCCTCCAAATGTACTCACTAGAAAGAAGACGAGAGATATCAAATAATATACACCTGGAAGATACTGGAGGGCCAAGTACCAAATCTACACACTAAAATAACAACGTACTGGAGTGAACGACATGGAAGAAAATGTAGAATAGAACCAGTGAAGAGCAGAGGTGCCATAGCACAATCAGAGAACACTATAAACATCAGAGGTCCGCGGTTGTTCAACGTCCTCCCAGCGAGCATAAGAAATATTGCCGGAACAACCGTGGACATTTTCAAGAGGAAACTAGATTTATTCCTCCAAGGAGTGCCGACCAACCGGGCTGTGGTGGGTATGTGGGCCTGCGGGCCGCTCCAAGCAACAGCCTAGTGGACCAAACTCTCACAAGTCGAGCCTGGCCTCGGGCCGGGCTTGGGGAGAAGAAAACTCCCAGAACCCCATCAACCAGGTATCAACCAGAGATGCCAGGTTCAACCCAAACGGAGACAAGTGGTAACCTTGATGCCCCACAACAAAACCGAGCCAGTACCTGAACCCCGGATGAATCAGGACATGCCAATACGTGTTCTGGGGGTTCAGGGACACCATCCAAGTGCCTGGCTCCAACAGAAGCCGGACCTGGGACAGAGTAGTCATCCAAAAGGAGGGTAATAAACCCAGGATTTTGGACGAGACAGTCTAGAATGAACCACAGGTCCGCACAGTCCCGTTTCTGGATTGGGAACAGACGGGAAACCCATCTGAGACACGTCGTCTTTTCGACCGCACCCATACACCTACTCCAAGGCAAACCCGACAGAGCGCAGGAGAAGAGGCCTGCCCCGTGAGCCCCGAACTCCCCAAAGGATTCATGGCTACCCAACGCCACCGCAGACCATTGGAAACGACCCGAAAAGCCCTCAAATCGTGGGACCAGGCGTGAGTAAACAGAGCAAGCCTTTCCCCATCACCTCGTTAATGGGATGAACCGCGAAAGGGCCAACACCCCTTAGAAGAGCCCGAGCTCCGCACAGAGCGAACACTGCGGTGACCAGACGAAGACGGGTCTGAAGGCGACGCTGGCCCCAAATCTGGCACCAGTGGCCTATCACGATGAGTGAAACCCCGAGCCCTGGCACGACCCCTCCAGGAAAAACCCTCCCCCGGGGACCCTCAGAGAACCAACAAATCGGACATCAGATGACAGCTAGCCGAATCCGCCTGCAGATACTGCGCCACCGCAGAATCAGCAAACAGCAAGGGACAAAAAGGCGGAGACATTCTAAGAGCCAGGGACCAATCAGATTCCAAGAGGAAGCAAGCACCACCTGCTGACACACGAGCAGGAGGCATAAAACAGTGATACCGCATCCCACAGGATCGGCGCAAAACAGCTTTAACAAGGCTGATGACGAACACGTCGCCGAGCCCAAGGCACTAGACACAGGAACGGCCCCAAGTGCCTCCACATCCTCCTCAAGCCAGATGGCAGACAGCTCCAGGAGGGAAAAGAACGCAAAGCTGAAGCCAGCAGGCCACAAGCCGCGCAAATCCTCAGCAACCAGTGCAGCCGAAGGGAGGGAACCTGCACGTGAAACTGCACGACAACCCACATCCCACATGAAGGACAGAAGCGAATAAGCACATATTGAGGTGCTCAACACTTGCCCCCAGGAAAACCTGGACCACCGTCAATGACTTATGCACTCAAGCATTCAGAAACGACAGAACATATGCTTCGCCTCCAAAGAAAAAACAGGACAGTCCACCAGCCAGAACAACTCTGGAACCTCGTAACGAATCCAGTAGTGAAACGAAGACCCAAACCTGAATGTAGACGGATCCATAAAAAAGGCGTAATCTGGTCACGCAGGAGGTAAGCTGCAACAGGTCTTCCGCACCACAGGAGGTGGGATGTTGGACGCGGGAAGCCGAAAACCTCCGGAAAGACGGGACCGAAGCATCCGAAGGGACACGGAACCGAACCTGGGGAAGGGCAGACACCCAGATCTAATTCATACACACAAAAGGAAGGGGGGGGGGGGGGGGGGAAAGAAACCCCACTCAAGTCAGCCCCTCCCTCGCCCTGGAACCACCACATCAGGTCCCCTGCTTGATACCAGCTTGATGGGGTTCTGGGACTTGTTCTACTTCTCATGCCCAGCCCAAGGCCAGGCTTGACTTGTGAGAGTTTTGGTCCACTAGGCTGTTGCTTGGAGTGACCCACAGGCCCACATACCCACCACAGCCCGGTTGGTCCAGTACTCCTTGGAGATGTCCACGGTTGTTCCAGCAATATTTCTTATGCTCGCTGGGAGGATGTTGAACAACCGTGGACCTCTGATGTTTATACAGTGTTCTCTGATTGTGCCTATGGCACCTCTGCTCTTTACTGTTCTATTCTGCATTCTTCTTCCATATCATTCACTTCAGTACGTCGTTATTTTACTGTGTAGATTTGGGATCTGCCCTCCAGTATCTTCCACGTGTATATTATTTGTTATTTCTCTCGTCTCCTTTCTAGTGAGTACCATTTAGAGAGTTTTGAGACGATCCCCACTAATTAGGGTGCTTTATCTCGTCTGTGCGTGCTGTATATGTTCTCTGTATTCCCTCTATTTCAGCAATCTCTCCTGCTCTGGAGGGGAAGTGAGTACTGAGCTGTACTCAAGACGGGACAGCATAAGTAACTTGAGTACAAACTATTGTGATGGGATCCCTGGATTTTGAAAGTTCTCGTAATCCATCCTATCATTTTTCTGGCTGAAGCAACTTATATATATAGCCTCTTATAGTTCTTACACTTTCTACAATCATTTATATTTAGATAGGGTACAATCACTACTCAATTATAATCCCCACAGGACTCACATTACAATTATATAAATACAAATATAATTCAATTAAATTTCACAGTACAATACCAATGACCAAATAGCATTATCTATTATATGCTACCAATTATATATAGTGTGTTTTATATTAAATTATTTAATATGAAACCTACACAGACTAAGAAAATATTCATAAATCACAGCAGAATAAATCAATAAATCATTATAGTGTAGGTGTACTAACCTTGTTGTGGTTGTTGCTGAGGATATCCTGGCCTCATTGGTCCAATCATGGTACCCTGGCTGCCCTGCATTATAATTTGGCGCCATTCAGGTCTTGAAGGAGGCATTTGTGCTTCAATATTAGGTACACCAGCTCCTGGACCAATGTTAACATTAGGTGGTCGAGGTCTTTGTAACATGCCACCAGTGGCCATGGGTGTGCGACTAACCATACCCATGGTACCTGCTGTGCTGACCTGATCTAGACTCATGTTCACAGCTGATATAGTCTCCACACTCAAGGTAGGCATGGAAGCCCAAGTATGGTACTACTTGCAATACTAGATGTGGGATTCATGTTGATGTTGGTACCATACCAGGCTTCATGGTGGGCCTATTAGGGGGTAATGTTTGCCGTGTCATACTACCCATAATTTTGACTTGTCCCCTTATTGACTTTAGGGCAACTAACCATACGTGGTCTCATTTTTTTTGCATGCCTTGGTAGCTCATCTGACCCATATTTTGGCCCATCTGGGACACTGGCTGAGCATAGGTTCACCCATCATCTGTTGTTGCTGCTGCTGTAGCGTAATTTTCCGATATTCAGGCGGTGGTGGACGAGACATCATCTGGCCCGTCTGACCGACCATCTGATCCCCTGCTGGAGTCACATGTCGCATCATGGTACCTGGGCCCATCATCTGTTGGCCAGATATCGTGGTGGTTGTGGCTGGCTCATAGCATACTGCCCACTCATCTGGCCCTGGTAGAACATCTCATTACTCATTTTGCCATCTGCTCCCATCTGACCACCCAGCTATCAGAGATGGACAGGTAACCCAGTCTAGATCAGTAGAAGCATTCTAACCTCCCAACCCTTAAATAAAATTTCCAAACTATACCAAAAACAGATGTACATACATCCTCCTATACTGCTTCCAACTTTAATGGGAAGGGAAATCATGTATGTATTAACTATGTTTGCATATATATATGTAGAAACCCACAACTAGCACAATCAACAAATCCATTTCTGCCTAAATGCCAAGAATGTACTGGCTACCCCCATTTTGCCCTAACAGGTGAAAAAAACCCAGCATTGAATATAATGAACACCATTTTCTGGATGAGTCCCGGAGCTCCCCGGAGCTATCCAGGCTGAATGGATATGTATAACTTTCTACCATCAGTTAAAGTGCAAAGTGCCCCAACCTAAAACAAGACCAAACAAGACCACAACAACGAAAAGATCCTGCAGACAACCTGGGAGACCGGAACCCCATAACAGGATTGACAGAAGGAAGGTTACCCGGGCAAACCAAAACTCATCCATGACCCCAGATGCCACGACGCGCCGAGAACAGCGAAGAGCTGCAACCGAACAGCAAGGAAGCACTCCCGGCCTGACCAACCAAGCAGCAACCCAGGACCAAACCGAGGAGAAGAAAATAGACCACCTGGGCCAACGACCAGAACGGCACAGGAACGCAAGCGCAGGCCAGAGGTGAAACAACGCCCAAGAAAGCAAGCGAACGGAACAGAAGTGAACAGCAACACTGAACGCAAGCTAGAGCAGTTTTCCGCCAATGTCATTCAAGACGAGGCGACAGTTCATGGTATCAGAAGATGGTCCCAGAACAACTCCGAAGGGAAAGACAAGACAACCCTATCAGAGACCGCAGGATCCTTTGCATTGATAGGAAAACTAGAAGGACCACCAGGAAAACTACACACACTGCCGCCGAGATGAAGCACGCAGGTGGGACACTAACAAGGAAGCCACCAGTCTCCTTACAAGCGACGAGAAACAAGAGACAAAAACCCAAGACACGAAGACTCGAGAGGAGGAACGAACCAACCCTGTACAGGACAGACCCGACCAGCAAAAGAGGCAGAACTGCGGGAAGACCCACAGGATCAAAACCGAAGAAAGCAGCAGGGCCCGCCAAGGAACCAGGAACCCAACCCCAGCAAGCCGAAAGGACCCAGCCCGAGCAAGCAGAAATGCCCTGTCCGGGAGGACCCCTTCCCCAGACCCCTGAAGGACCAAAAAGGCCAAACACTGAAGAGCTAGGGCCCAGGCAGAGGCCAATGAGGAAAGCGGGCATCACAAAGAAAAACGCGAGTGAAAACAGCAACCCCACACCCCAAAGGAGCATAGCACCCAGCTCCAGAAGGGAAGAACGATGCACGCGTCTCCGAGGGATACCTGAGAAAACTATGCAGGAAGTGAACCACAGGAAACAAAAAATGCACAGCCCGGAAAAGGAACAAGGAAAGCCGGAGCCAGAACCTGAATCCCAGCTACCTGTCCCAAAGAGGGAACCAGAGGGCAGGAACAGTGGACCGAAAGGCCACAACCCTCCACAGACAATGCAACCCAGAACCTACAGTGAGGCACAAAGAAAAGTGAAAGAACTCTGTACCAAAACCGAGCACCGGGGCAGTCCAAAAGCATGGAACTGAAAATGGACAGAGGCCCACCTCAGCACCCAAAAACAGTATAGCCAAGAAGCACCAACCCAGAAGCACAGCCATGTGTGTAGCTTAGGAGGAGGAAAACGAAAACAAGAAAGAAAAAACCCGAATACGGACCAAGTAGCAGCCGGGGAACGCAATGTACACAACCAACCACAAAGTGTGTAGTGGGAGGTCGCACTTACACAGAGAGACACCATGGATATCAGGGTGCAGCCAGGCACCGAAGTTAGGCAAGGAAGGAGGGTCCAGAGCAGAGACAAAGCAAGGAAGGAGGACACAGAAGCATGGACTGAGGGAACGAAGCTGTGCCCAAATATAGCGAAAAGACCCCGGTGCCAAAAACTAAACAAAAAGCACCGAAATGCGAGGCAGCGCCCTACAGGACAATGAAGAACAAGATACACGGACAAAGAAAGCTACACTCATGGCGCCCAAGTAAAACACACACCAAACAACCATGACAGGAGTCAGCGACGCAACCCTGTCAAACGGAGAAGTGACAGAGTTAGTAAAATGGAGTATTGAACATTGGGGGGGGGGGGGGAGGGGTTACATGCACAAGGGGACACAGGAGGAACCAGAGACCCCAAATGCGCTACAGAGACATTAAAAAGAACCAGAACAATGTCAGAGGAGTAGGAAATGGAATGCACTTGGAAGGGATGTGGTGGAGGCAGACTCCATACACAATAGCAAAAAGAGAGAAGAGAGCCCAAGAGGCACAGGAATCTGCACAACCCCGATGACTGACAGTCGAGAGGCAGAACCAGAGCTCAACCAAAGCTCAACCCCCACAAGCACAACTAGGCAAGTACCCCACCAAAAGTCGAGAAGCAGCTCCTGGCCGACAGAGTAAATCGAGTGGATACTCTTCAAAAACATTTGAAGCATGAAAAATACACCTGATTGAATAAATATTACACTGTTAACTTCTCCTGGATTCAGTGTGATAGTTAAAAGAGAGCTATTTCTGTAGAGCCCCTTGGGCTCCACGGAGCTATACCAGGCTGATGTGTATATATATTAGACCATGGCAACAGTCAATCGAAGGAGTTCTCGGCCTACCGGGGACCAGAGCCAGAACCTGGCCCCCTCAAGAGAGGCACGAGGAACAATGGTCTAAAGACACCCCCGTGTAATTGGAACCAGTTTTTGTCTGCCATCTACCAGGTCAGGCAACCAGAAAGGTAGGAATTCCGAAACAAACTAATGCTGGTCAAAAATTGCAAACCGATAGCCGAACTAGCAAACAGAACTCTCCAATCAAAAACAAGGAAACAAGTATGACATCACCACTACCTCATGCATCCGTCTGCACAATTCCCCCATCCCCCTCCAAGGGGCGCGGGACAAAGGGGTCCCAGACCTCCATGTCAGCAACTCTCATCAGTTCAGAAGGCTGCTGTGTCGGTGACAGTCGATCGGCTCTGGCTGCACTCTTTGCGCAGTGCTGCTTGACAGTGTTGTTGCTCTGTGTTGGTCGTGTGCGTGTGCGAGACAGGAGTAACACAGAGTCCTGGGGCTGCATGCACCTAGGGCTACCTTCCCTAGTGCCCTGTAAGCACTGCCTCTGTGGCTTAGGGCTATCTTCCATGAGTCATTCAGGAGCAGCTACCCTGTGTGTTTCTGTTACTGCTTGGTGATTGCCCACCCTTGGGGTTCAGTTGGGGTGGTTCTTACTCCTGTTTGTCATTCAGTAGAACTAGTTTCATCGCTGGCTGGATGCGGGGTACTGTGCAGCTGTCTGATATACACATAGCGACCGTTCTGTTCACCTGGAGACGTAGTGCTGCTTTTGCGGGGTTTTTCTTTTGTTTTGATTTGCCTGATGGGGTCTGCCTTGTGTGGTGGTAGGACCACTTGTAGGATTTGGGTGGCCTTCCACTAGGTCCCCGTGCTTGCACATGTCGCAGGGGTTCAGCTTTTAGTTTGTTTGCTTGGTAGCTCTGGAATAACCGGTTAGCAGTACCTCATCTGGGTTACATTAGCAGTCACCTTAAGGGCCCTGGAAACCCCATTGGGATTCAGTGGTCCGATAGAGGACACCTCCGAGTCCCACCTTGCCTTGTGCGAATTTGAAGGTTGATCTGTCCCTTTGTCTCGGGATGACACTCACCGTCTGCCTCCGCCATGCTGCCTGTTGGGTCAGTGACACCTTTGACCCGGAGTCCTGCGAGTGGTGTTCTTTGCTTGTACTCCATTCACCCAGTCCACTGAGACTTATATTCAGTGCAGAACAGCTTTAGCATCACATGCAAGGTTTAGGTTGTCGCAACGCATGAGGTTGGTTGCCTTTCCAGATGCCCAGCAGCTGCCCCGCTTTGATTATACCTGGTAGTGAGACTTGGGCGGCTTTGGGATTGCCCCTTCCGAATCGGTGGCGGAGACATTGAGTCTATTCCTCCTGCCAAAGCTATTGGGTCGTGCTAGTGGGCCCCCCTTCATCTCTGCTTTTCCGGTGGACTCAGTTTTTCTCCAGAAGCAGAGAGTTTGGAGGACGGATCAGCCCAGGGTCCTGACATGGAGGATTCCAGGGCTGGGGAGGAGTTGACTTGGGGGAGCTTGGACCCCAATTGATCCCGGCTTGGTGTAGGTATCCTCGGCACATGGCTTGTTGTTACATGGGGAGGGTTTTCCTGTCCCCCTCCCTGTATGATTTTGTTATGAGTTTGACTCCTGGTTGATGGGGTTCTGGGAGTTTCTTCTACTCCCCAAGCCCGGCCCGAGGCCAGGCTCGACTTGTGAGAGTTTGGTCCACCAGGGCTGTTGCTTGGAGCGGCCCGCCGGCCAACATACCCACCCACAGCCCGGTTGGTCAGGCACTCCTTGGAG